ATAATTTCTGGGAATCTTTAGCTTAGAGCTCTGGTGGCTGTGGGCACTTTTAAGCTTGGACCCAGGCATTTTGCTCATTTTAAGAGCAGTGTCTTGTTTCCAGAAAGTATGCTTTAGAGCAATTAAGTGTATTTTCAGCAAGGTGTGTGACAAGGAGGCAAAACCTGGCCTATAGGCCATATTGTCTTTTTTGGTCTTCACGCCTATCTTTATATGTTTCACAGTCCAAATGTGATGTGCACATATGAATTCAGACATACGCTTAAAACAGTGTATGTCTGTAATGTAGTGCTTTTCGGCGCTGTGTTGACCGTTGTGAATGAGGAGCCTTACAAATTTCACAGCACGCACAGTGCCCTTTTAGCCTTTATACTTTAGCCATAATATATCCACCAAATTTAGATTTCATTCAGCAAGATACTTTCTTCAACCTCCTGTCTGTAGCTCACATGTTTACAGGTGCTTTTTATATATAATAATAAGTTTATTATTAGGAATAGGAAGTGTAGATAAAGAAACTTGTACCCAGGAGGAAAATGAGCATTCTTGCTACTACTTCTTTTTCACCATAAATAGGAAAAACTGCCTAGTCTGTATAGAATGGTAACTTGCAAATGCATTCCTAACAGGTCATTTTCTTTTTAGAGCAGTCATTGTCTTCAGTCATGGCAGTAAGGGATAAAGTGATAGCTAATATTTATTGAGCAGTTACGGTGGGGTCAGGTACTGTTCTAAGCACTTTATGTGTCATAGCTCATTTAATGTCCATAATAACCCTATGAAGTAGATACTGTTATGATACCTTTTATATATGAAGAAGCTGGGACACGGAGAGGCTAAGTGAGTGCCCAGAAATAGTGCTAGTGAGTGCCCAAGCCAGGATGCAGACCTTGGTCGTATGGCTTCTACTCGAGCTCTTTCCCAAAACAATAACTATACCACCTTTCATTGAGCTTTTCCAGTTTCCACTCATCTGAGTAATTAGTTCCTCGTTTCATTTTATGGTGAAAATGAAGTGAGAGAAGCAGTAAACTGTGATTGGGGTGAAACATGAGATTTAGAATCAATACAACCGTTTTTGTCCTAGCTCTGCCATTTAAATAGTCATGTTACTGTTGATGAGTTTCCTAGCGCCCGCCCCTCTTTAATATATTTTTTTAAAACTTTGACTACAGGTGAAGCTTAAGATTCTACTTGAACAACTTTCCTCATCTGTCCCCTCTCGTCAAGTGTAAAACAACCATCCATATCTGGCACATCTTCACACAGACACACACAGCCGCATGCACAGACTCACAGATGCAGTTGGTACTTGTTATGTGCAGTAGTTACGTTCTGTGAAGTCACCAGGAACTCGGAATTAACCAATACCGGACCCTTGTTCCTGTGGGACGTACAGAGGCCATTTCCTGCAAGCCTCTGGTCTCAGCATTTTCATCAATCAGTGCATAACTTTGCTTGCTGTGTGTTTCTGTTTAAAGATTATTGTGTATTTATATTGTTGATTCGTTAACATTGAACTCAGCCAGCAGCACTATAAACTCATTTTTAAACAAAGCATACCTAATACATGCATTTTTTTCATACGGCACGTCATCGCCCTCTTGCACTTAGGAATACTAGACGGCAGTTCAGCACTACACGTGGGGGCCGTTTTAAGCAGTGCAGTCACCAAAAAAAGCACAAATGTGCAAAAAAAACATGGCACCAGTAGACTGTT